GAATGTCGGAGAAACAGCTTGATCTCCTGTCGCTCTGCCGTTCCACAAAAAGCTCATCGCGACCTGGTTGGACATTCGTTGGCGCGGTAAGCAGCACGAATGTCGGAGAAACAGCTTGATCTCCTGTCGCTCTGCCGTTCCACGGAAGCCTCATAGCGACCTGGTTGGACATTCGTTGGCGCGGTGAGCAGCACGAATATCGGAGAAACAGCTTGATCTCCTGTCGCTCTGCCGTTCTACGAAAAGCTCGCTACGGCCTAGATGGATACCGGGTGGCACTGTAACTACCTCCATGTCGGAGAAACGACCAGATCTTCTGTGTCTCTGGAATTCCGCGGAAGGCTCGCCACGGCCTAGATGGATACTGGGTGGCACTGTACCTACCTCCATGTCCGGAGAAACGACCAGAGTCACGCCAACCGCCAGGAAAGTGAGCACGAAAATTGATCGAGACGAAGATGTCATTAGGTTGAAATATCTTCACTTCAGGTATAAAATCGCTCAGTTTCCGGCATCAACACCACCCGTTCCTCCAACAGCCCCAGCGACGGCAGGAATCCGCCTCGCATCGCCGACACCCTTCTCCTCGCCAATATTCGCCGCGTGTGCCGCATCGTCGGGGCTTTTGGGCAGCAAGCGTCTGCGGATCCAAAACAAGCCAAGAGGAAAGAAAAATGCGAGCAGGACCGCCACAATGATCTCGATATCCTTCTCTCCGAGACCCTTCGAGTCGTTTTGTTGCGGTGTTTCCCCCCGTTGCGCTGGAAGGTCTGCGGCTGGCGGAGTCATGGCAGCTTGAGAATGTGTTAGCGTCGTTTGCATGATTTGTGTGCGAGACTCACCTGGCAGCGGAGCGGCGAATGCAAGCGCGGCACTGGCAAGAAGTGCGATGGTCTTCATTTTTGTGGTCTGATGGAGAAGCCGCGTCGAAGATGTGAATACCAGACAAGCTGTGTGATGTTGATGCTGAGTCTGGGAATGGAGGTGTTGATGTTGATGTCTGCGATGTCGAGAGAGAAAGTCAAGAAGGCGACGAGAAGAGCGCAATATAACGCAGTGGCAGTGCTCAGGTGGTTGTCAAGCAGGTGCATCGAAAGCAACTGCTTGCCCTCTTTATGAGGTAAGAATCAGTCACAAATGAGCAAGAACATTGCACCCAAGTGGAAGTAAGTAACAAGTGAGGAAAGAAATGGCAAGCGCGTTGTTGAGAAACAGGTTTGCGTCGGCATCACCTACGGATGCATGCATGCCCTCACTTCCACTTTCCACCCTATCTCTCTATCTAGAAAACTGTCGCTCGACGTTTACAAATGCGCTATGGGTTCTGCTAAATGGTGGTGGTGGTAGTAGGTCAATCAATCAATGGGTAGATGAACAGGCAAGCCAGCCAGCATTCCTTCTCCGCATAAATTCCAGCTTCGGAGCGCCTGCCCATCGAAGACATTCAATGTAATTGCGGGGAAGGATAGCAGATCGTTGCCCTGGTCTCTCTCAGTCGCGTCGTAACGGCGTCGTCGTCACTGCTTCAAGTTCTCTTCAGTCGCCGCTCAAAAGCCAGTAGGGACAGGAGCGGCAGTGGCAGTTGGGGTAGGAGCCGAGTAGACCGGATCCTGGACACCCCAGTGAGGCTTGAAGCCGCCGTGACGAGCACCGCCGAATTGCTTAGCTTGAGGTTCTTGAGGCTCGTCGTAGGAAGACCAGGAGCCACCGGTTGGGGCGGGGAGGCCGCTGCTGGCTGTGCCGGTTGGGAGAGCGAAGCCTTGACGCTTGACCATTTGCTCGTCGCGTTGCTTGACGAAGACGCCGGGCTTCCAGGGGTCTTGACGCTTCTTGTGTTGCGGGTGTGCGTCGCGCTTGGCAACGTTGTTGTTGTTCTCTGTTGTGTCAAGAGATGGAACTCCTGTTGGCAGTGGGAGGCTAGTTGGGAAGGCAGTGCCTGTGGGGAGGACGGCGGGTTGTGTGCCGGTAGGAGCTGGCCATTGGGTTGGGAATACGCCTTCGTTTGGACCAGGTGAGAGGTTGGGGAATTGTGGTGCTGATGGCTCGTTCTCGCTCTGTCGAGCGACCTTCATCCACGAGGGGAGGTGAAATGGCAGAGCAGCGGCGGAGGTGGCGAACAGCGCAAGCGAGGCCGCGCTCAATGTGTTGATTTGAACCATCTTGGGAGAGAGTGTGTGGGTTTGCTTCCGGCCTTGCGTAGCGAGTGACAAGGTTCAAAGGAGTGTCGTCGACCAGGACGATGTAAATTCGATGGTCTATTAGATGGGCGTGCTGGACGCTGAGAAACGAAGAGAAGGTGAATTGGGTGTTTGCGAAAAGAAAACCAGGTCGACGCTCTGTCCCTCGTGCGTGAGAGTAAAGTAGCGTCCCTGACTCCATAGAGTCCGGCCGTTCAACGTGATGATCTTGCATAGTCTAAACCTACCTTGCCTTCGCCTCGTGAGAAACGACAGCGATGTGGTTCGCACCACGGACATTCCAGACGGGGCTCGACGAGTGACGGTGAAGACGAGCCATAGTCTAATGCTTGAGATAAATGGACGCCGAGAGGTGATAGGCTAGGTGACTTGGTCGATCGCGCAATGTTGAGACATGCCATTCAGGTACTGTCGCGCCAGTGTGCGGAATCATATCGGTCCCTGGGACAGTCATCGTCACTGTCCATAGCTACACCTCGTAGATTGCGATAGAAGTCCGCTCTCATTCGCAGGCGCATTGTGACATTGGAACTTATACTGATCCCTGTCTGAAGCACGGATGTGTAGTGCTGTTCTGTGGGCGACGGCTTCGGGAGAAGTCTGGAGATAACAGGGTCAGCGCGAACAAGGCCCACAGCCAATCAATGGAGAAATTGTGCGATTGCTTCTACCAAACGTTACCAGTAAAAGCCGATCGCTCTCATCGCATTCGAATCAAGCCGCATAGCGATAGGCACCGCCGCGCAAGCGAAGGTGAAGTTGAGAGTCGGTCAAAAAGCAACAGCAGGGATCCTACTTCGACCCGCTTTTGATGCTTCTCGCCCGTGGGAAAAGATCGCTTTCCGTCGAACAGCAGACAAGAATCCGGAGACGTTCCCGGCGCAAGCTGAAACGCAGTCGTCGCGTCTCCTTGCTGCCAAATGATGACATTTCGCGATTGGGCCTTGCTCCCAAAGCCGGCCTCGCGGCCGCATCGACATCAGGGAAGAATGTGTGCTGAACATGCGCCGTCCTGGCTAGTACCTCGTTTCGCTCTCTACCAGAAACGAAAGAGCGATCTGCAATACTGAATATGGTCAAATCTCCATTGACGGTGAGCACCACTGCTTTCACCGTGGTGTGCGCCAAGCTCACTCCTGTATCGAGTCGCGACCAGCGTGCGAATAGTTAAAGGAGGGATGCTTGCGTTCTTCGCTGTCCGGGCGGTCGTTGGTGTTCCAGTCAAAAACACCGAGAGTCTGGGATTTGAACATCGATCCGTTTCACTCGAGGCAGGATTTCTCGTACTGCTTACTCTCCAGATCTTTCAGACCAAGAACAGAGCTGTGCGCTGCGAGTTGCGCTGACAAGATGTAAGTACTCCTTCCAGTCAGTGTCGAAATCTGTATGCCGTGAAAAGGCTGTCATAAAATATGTCTCATTGACTTCGTAGAAATGCCTTATGTACAATACATAGTAATAACATCGCTCCAAGGAACGCTTCGCTATTGCTGAAATAGTTGATGTGCCCGCTGCATCATCTAAACCGGATATCATTACACGCAGCCAAGAATGGCCTCTAAAATCCTTTGAAAGGATCCATTCCGTCCTCATCAAAGACGTATCCCGCCCGTCGCTTGTCGACAGTGGACTGGGACAGATTACTGCTTCGGCGAGGACGACGCGCGCCACCGATGACTGGAGGTGGTGCAGGCACATAGAGGACGCCATCGCGAACGTTGGGGTCGACAAATGCCTCCATACGAACTGTTCCCACTGCCTCGAAGAAGTTCTGATGAACCGGGCTAGCAAACGACTCTCGACGACTGCCGCTCTTGGTGGACATGCTGGGCCGGAAAGATGAGCCATTCGTTGAGCGGTAGTAGTTCCCGGACGAGGCGGAGGATGGCACGCCTCCAGAAGAAATGCTTCGAAAGCCAGGATTAGTATTGCTGCGGTTTCTCTGGTGGCGGGTAGTGCTGATATACAAGCGCGGAACTGCTGGGAAGTCGGCGCTTCCTGGTTCGAGACCGACGCCCGCGAGGTCGGAAGAGTAGGTTTCATCGGGATGAGATTGAACCTTGTGAAGTTCTGCCTTTTTGCCTTTTGTGATACGAATGGAGTCTCGGACATTTGACCTGCCAATCGATGGCGAACGATGTCGTTTAATATCGACACCATCAGCTTCTGCATGCGGCGTTGGTGGAATAGGGAGCGCAGGCGTGGGCATCGGCGGGATCTGATTTGGAAGTGTTGATTCGCGAGCCAGGAACGTTAGAGCTGCCATCCACAAGCCGTGGCGTTCTTCAGTGGTAGCAGTGAATTTTAGCGCGCGTTGTGGCGTAAGGATCAGAATGGATCGCCCCCACGCGGACGGCAGCTCTGCATTCTTGGGCAGGGGCGTGCGATCTTGCACATCCAGGACAGATGTGATGGTCACTGTGTTGGTCAGTAAATCGTGCCCACGCTGTTCGAAGCCTGAAGTACTCACATTTGCGTCCGCGCTTGCCCAGCAACGCAGTGCCCGAGCTGGGCTGCTTAGTGTCCCACATGATGGTGCGCTCGTAAGGCGATAGCCAGACCCAGCGTTTGTGTCTGGTGCCATGAGCTGTCACATTCACAATGCCATTCTCGGAGGCGACAGGCATTTCGGAGGTATCGTCCCCCATACCGAAAGACTTTCGCTTGCGAATGTATTTCCACATCCACTCGCCCACCATCGTCGCAGCAATCGCATCCACAAGGTTCGTTTCCTCTCCTCCCTGACTAGACTCCCCTGGCGAGCTCCGTAGATCGACGGACCCTTTCACGTGCGGATATTCACGAACTGGTGAAGGTAGCTCTGGAATCGGGAATTTTGTCGGCGCAGGACTGTCGAAAGCCATCGACTGCACGGGAGTCAACTGCGGCGATCGTCTGCTACGACGATGGCCTTTGGTTGGCGAGGTTCTGCCATGTCTGTTCCTAATGATCGCAGCAGACTGAACTTTGCGCAAGCTTGCCTGTCGCGCATGCGACCTCCCCGTTCGCCCAGTTCGGGTTCCGAATCCATCGTGTGGTGTTGGGCTCTGAGACCCCTCGCTCTGGGGCTTTGGCCGCGAGCTAGATCGCAATGGGATGGGATACGGAGGTAGTGGGTCGCTTTGGTACGCACTCTGACTGCTAGAAGCCATGCTTGTAAAGCTAGGACTTCGCGGGGACCTGCCGAGCCTGGCCTGGGGTTGCTGCGTGTGTCTGCGTGATGAAGTCGCGCGGCTGCTGGATATCGAAGGAGCAGGTGCTGCGGCGTGCGAATCTGATGTACCGGGACGACGTTCTGGTGAGATCTCCTTGTCTTCTGGAACAGCCTTCGGAGGATCGGACAGTCCAAATCGTCCAAGAGGTGGTCGACTAGTGACCGGCATCGAAGCAATCAGATCTGCAGGATCATGATCCTCGACAGGATCCTCATAATCGCTTTGCTCAGACGACTCGGGTTCTTGTCCACCCATGTAATCGGTCTTCGGCTGCGTCACGCCGTACTGGGAGGATCGATTGAGGGGCCCGTTGCTCTGGAAGGTCTCGTTAACTGGCAACGGCGGTGACAGAACCGGTCGTGGCAGCGGTAGCGCTTTCAATGGGTAGTGACGAAGATCTCGAGCTCCATTATTCCTAGCCATATCCGGGCTGGAGTCAGTGGGAGATTGCAGAGGTGGCGACGCTGGGATTGAGATGGCGGGAGGCCTGTTGAACGACGCTCGCTTGGTTAATACACTAGAAGCGCTGATCCGTTTCGACTGTGGCCGCGAATTTTCCTGGAATGACGGGCTCGGTAGCAAAGATGAAGGCAGTAAGTGAGGTGGCAGTTTCACAGGACGCTGGTCAATGCGAATCTCCTCTGTCTGCATACAGGCATCTCGGCTTGGCCATCCCATATTCGCCTGAGCGGTGGCATTCTTCGTGCCCGGGGGCAACGCATACGGGCGAGGAGAGGAGGGCCGTGAGCTTGGCGGGTGAATCGCAATAGATGGCACAAAGGAAGGCGGAGAAAGAGAATCGCGCTTCGGGTTGTGACCACTTCTCGGAGGTTCTTGTTCCACGGGGTCAGTCTGCGTCGATGCTGTGCTATACTCCAGTACAACAGTAAGCTCTGGTTTGTGGTGTACCCAAGTCCCGCCCACATCAACGACAGGAGTTTCCGGTGGGCTGATCGGCTTGTGTGAGAGCGTCGGCTGCGGTTGCTGCAGCGAAGCATTGACATCGATGGCTGGAGGTGGTTGCTGTCGCATCTCGTCCTCTAAATTTTCATTCGCAATGTCATCTCCAGGTCGTGTAACCTCAACGCGTGGTGGCGAGACGGGAGGCGACGGCTGGTAACCAGCGTCCACATATGTTGCACGAACATCGGGTACTGGCGTGTGAAATGCAGCTGGTGGCGGCGTGGTTGCGCGGTCCTGGTACTGCTTAGTCGGCTGCCGCTGGCCTTCCGACTCAACTTCCAATTTCGGGAAGTTCTTTGCAGATGGCGACTCTAACGAGTCAGTTGTTAAGCCTACGACGCGCTTGGCTTTCGCGTCTAGCTCTACATTTGCAGAATTTGACCGAGCTGCAGCCTCATGTTTCATCTGCGCTGCGCTCTCCGGGGTATCGTCGCCATTGACGGAATCCTCGTTGTCGTACTCGTCCAGCTCATCGATGTCCAATTCGTCGGCCAGAGTATTGCCGGGTCGAAAGTATAGATCCGGAGTTGCCGCGGTCGTCCTTGACACGACTGAGCTCCGCATGTGGCGATGTACGAAGCTGATACTGCTCATATTCCGCCTGTGTTTCTTCGGACTCGCCGATGGAGTGGCAGAGTATATGCTGCCAGTATCGCTCTCGTTGCCGAATCCACTGTCCTTGAAAGTGCTGTCGTCGGTTGCCGCATCGGATTGCGTCTGACTTTGCTGAGCGTTCATTTCGTCCACAACCGCGCGAAGTCGAGTTTCAGTAACATGGATCCTCCGCTCCAGCTGACGACGCTCGCTATCCCACGCCTCTTTGTCGTTCTCCCATATGTTTTGGGTGCGCTCTGCGTCCTCATCTTGCTGCCGCGTCTTCTTCTGAGCGAGCTCAAATTTGGCACGCAACTCTTCGAGGGTCGCTCTTGCCTCATCTCGTTCTCGCACAAGATCCTCGACCGCCTCATAGGTGCCCTGTTCAATTTGCTGCACCTGCTGCTTTGCCTTGCGAACCTCGCGCGCACTTTCTGAGAGCTGTCCGTTGAGAGCGTCGTTTTCGTTTTTGGCCAAGGACAAGTTCACTTCCAGGTTCTCTACGAGGTTGTTCTTCGAGTCGAGCTCTCGTCGTAGCTTGAGGATTTCGGACACCAACGATGCATGCAACGTTGGCGTGAAACGCCGAGGGTCCATGTTTGAGTAGCGGCCATCTCGCGCCTGCTCTTGTGTTTCTCTGGCATCTGAAGGAAGTGGAGGTGGAGGAGACGGCGAGGCCTCTCTCGACGATGCGGCCGTCGCGCGTGACGACCTCTTTGATCGGAGGAATCCCGTGGTCTCGTATGGTGTGTCGGCCGGCGACGGCAGCCCTTTGGCGCCCATGTACTGAGAATACTCGCTGAAATAATCGGCCATGTCAATGTGCTGGTGGTAAATAGTGGCTTAAGAATGCGCAAGCACCCGTGAAAAACACCACGCTGATTCCCAATGCATGTGTCTACAAAGTGCGGGGGGTCAACTGAAGTGAAGTCAGTCCGGTGAGCTCTGCAGCGCAGATGATGGGCAATGTCTTAGGCGAGCCGGAAGTCACGTACGGACAAGGAAGCGTATGCCATGGCAGTGTGCTCACTACGATGGAGGTGTGAGCATTATTGTACAAGACGCTTATCGTGTGGCTCGACGAGGCGTGCTGGCATGCGGTAGAGACAGGTGATGAGGTGGAGTGTCAAGGAGAAGGATGGTCGACCTCGAACCCAGGAATGACCTGGACCAGGTGGAAGGGTAGGTCGTGTACTCGTGGAGAGGTAGCCCTTCTGGCAACGCATTGACTTTCCGGCTAGCCCTGCTATGCAATGGCCACTTATTTGGCGGCCGTCCCGTGCGATCCTGGCTCCCGCCAAGTTATACACAGGCAATGGAAAGCCTATCAAGGCACGAATCGGCGTTCAATATGCAACAGCACACATGTGTCTCATCGGCTGCTTCTGGCGCGGGCGGTACTGGATGCGGGCGCACAGCAGCTCCGTGGGCGCGCGGGCGATCGGGGTAGCATGTGAAGCCGACGTTTCCATATGGTCCCAAGCGGCGGAAGAGTGCATGGAAGCGATGTCCAGCGGGGGCTTGCAGCAGATCGCAGTGGTGCTGCAAGCTTGCAGCAACGTGCTGGGATGCATGAGAGATGCTCGTGCCAGGCCTCCTGAGCGAGCAGATCGATGCCGAAATTGGGCACGTATCGAGAGTCGTCTGCTCGTTTCAGCGTCCGACGTTCATGGATGTCTTCGTTCGTAGTGATGCACTCTGGCACGCCGCAGCAGTGCTCACTTCACACACCCCTCCATGCCCTCACGCCCACCCGTCTGGTTGAGGAGCGACGGGCAAAATTAAACTCGGCCACTGAAACCGCAGTGAAGACACCGAGGGAGCTACGTGCAGACGGAACCAATCTCCTGGCACGCTTCGCTCCTCTAGCGAGCTGTCGGTTGAAGAGTAGTGGCGCTCCGCCCTGCAGTAGTCCGTCAGATCCGTGTGTCGCCTTTGTTCCGCCGGCGCCATTACCGCTCTGCCACAGTGCCACAAGCGCTCCAAGGCAGATGTTCAGCCAACGGGCCGCGACGCAGTCCGCCGTGTTCCATACGAGACCTTCCAGAGCCACGGCAGAGGGGAGGCGTGAATGGGGCCGGTGATGCGCTGGGCAATAGATACATAAAACATCGTCGGCCAGCTCATCACGATGTTGGCGATTTGGCGAGATGAAAGAGGTCCCGCAGGCTGTGATGTCGTGCGGGACAATTTGCAAAGTCTGCAGAAGGGTGGGTGGCGCTGTGATGGCCCTCGCACCAACGCGTCACAAACGGCGAATGAAAGTCTGCCGAGGGCTCGCTGAGCGCTACGGAAGTTCCACTCAAGCCTGCTGGTGTGGTCGTCGCTGCTCCATCCAGTCCTCGCATCGCCAACGCCTTGATGACTGTTGGTGTGTTGCTGCACCTCCTCCATACAGATCTGCGCCGCCACACCTGCTGCATCACGGCACAGCACAGCACAGCACAGCACAGCCAACACTCGCCATGGCAGCTCCAAGTTGGCGAATGTACGAGGCTGCAGATGAGCAAGCGATCGGCCACAGCCAACAGCCCATGTGCCGCAGGGGTAGTTCTAGCCGCGGTCTAGGTTAGCTTCCGCCGGTATTTGTCTCTGGCTCCAAGCCTAAACCAGGGCTCCTCCGGCTGGCATCGAAGTATACTGCAGTGGACAGCACAGAAGAGGGTTCGCTGCTACTGCACACCTGCACGATGGCCGACTTCCTACAGGCCCCGCAAGGAAAGCTGCAGACACCGTCGTTCTCGAACAGATCTGACCTTCTGCCGTTACACGTAGCTGCAACGCTCGCCAAGGAGCCTGACTCGAAGTGCTGTCTGTTATGCAAGGGCATGCAGCTGTTCTCCTTCGAGGCGCATCGTGTACACACATACGGCCGTCCCGTCGTAAGGACAGGCTTCAGCCTCATCAGTCCGATGAGCTTGTTGCCACCACAGCTTCCTGCATCTGGCACGGGTGGTCTGATCACGAGACGGATTTAGCAAATGGTTTCGGATGCTGTAGCATGTATCCTCATGTTGATCTCGCCACAGTCGATAACCGATAGTCAGTCGTTACTATACTCATTTCCGAAATTGCCAATGTAGGTTAAATCACAACGCATCGAGCGATCAATGTAAATTGAGCAAGGCGCGCTCTGCTTGGACACAGTTCATTTTCGGCAGTTGGCACATCATCACTGCACAGGAAAATATGGCATTTGTGAAGATGCGAGCTCGAGCGTCGGCACAAACTGGCCTCCAGAACGCCGATGTGGAGAAGCGACCGCTGAATAGCCACGAGGAACACGATTCAAGAATTGTCGTCAACGCTGCAAGACATCCCCTCGATACAACCAGAACGCGCAAGATCACGCTGCAGCTCGCTGAATCGCGACCGACATCCTCCTGCAGCCAAGCGATACACTGCGAGATTGACACAGCTGCAAGAAGCAGGGCCAAGGGTCGAAAAAATTCCATTTCCATGCAACACTTGACAAGCTACCACGGGATCTGAGAATGGCTCAAAACAGCAACCGCAGCAATCCCACCGCGGCAGTGACTGCACAACCGCCGGCCAGCAACAACGGCGAGGCAGCTGCAGAAGCCCAAAATCAGCAAACCCATCAAGATGCAGCAGACAGCTTCGTCGACAACATCACGGCCGCCATGCCACCCAGCATGGAAGAGAAACGGACCAAAACGGCCGACGAGCTGCTGGCCGAAATGAATCGCGTCCCGCTCTTCATGACCACGCTAGATGAGACGGACGGCGAAGGTGGCGAAAATGTCATGCTCGAGGCGATCAAAGCCCTCGCATACGAAGGTACCAAAGCCGAAGTAGCTACCAACTTCAGGGAGCAAGGTAACGAAACTGCTCGCGCGAAGAATTGGAAAGATGCGCGTGAATTCTACTCGAAAGCTATTGCTTCAGTGCAGGGCAAGGTCAAGTTGGTAGAAGCTCCTGAGAAGGACGATGATCCTGCTATTCCCTCCACGTCGTCGGCGTCAACGCCGAGGATTATAGACGTGACTGAACTTGACGATGCCGCGAAGAAAGGTACAGAAGAGCTCGATGAAGAAGCTGAGAAGGCCAAAGAGCGTGAGATTGAAGAAGCTTGTCTCGCCAATCGCGCACTCTGTAATCTCGAGTTGAGTAAGTCACACCAGCCTGTCTCTTCCTTGATTTCTTTCTTTACCACTACATCTCATATCACTCCCACGCGACTAACACCCGCCGCAGAAAACTACGGCCAATGCATCAAAGACTGCGCCTCCGCCCTCCGCCTCAACCCAAAAAACATCAAAGCCCTCTACCGCGCAGCCTCAGCCTGTCTAGCCTTGGACAAACTCCCCGAAGCCCTCGACGCAACCACCAAAGGCCTCAATCTCGACCCCTCCAACACTCCCCTCATAACCCTCAACAAAAAAATCACAACTCGTCAAGAATACCTCTCTCGCCTCGAAACCGAACGTCTCGCACGAGAAGAAAAACAACGAAAAGAATCCCTCACCCTCTCCACAGCACTCAAAGCACGGAACATCGTTCTCCGAGACAAGGCGGGAGAAGGGAGTAATGCACCACCCGAAATGGAAGACGCCGCAATCCACCTCTCCTCCCCTCTCAACCCTTCCTCAACCCTCACATTCCCAGTCCTATTCCTCTACCCTCTCGCCGCACAAACAGATTTCGTGAAAGCGTTCCAAGAAACCGAAACACTACTGCAACATCTCGAGTATCTTTTACCTGTACCTTGGGAGGAAGAAACAAATAAATCTTCAACTTCAACTACTGCAGAGAAGGAGTATGGAACTCCAGAAGCAGTAGAATGCTACATGGAAACCTCCTCCGGCGGACTAATCAAAGCTGGTAAAAAACTGGTTTTGGGGAAATTGCTAGGATCAGGAAAAATTGTGATCGTGGATGGGTTGGTGAGAGTTTTTGTTGTGCCGAAGAAGAGAGCGGGGGAGTGGATTGAGAAGTTCAAGGAGAGGAGGGGGAGGTCGTGAGGCAGTCAGTGCTGGAGGAGGAAAAATTGCGAGAGTTCGCTTTGCAGAACTGGCATTTGTCTTCACACAAAGGCGCTGCCAGCGATGAAATGCTCAACAGCGATGCAAGCATTCCCAAGGCGAACGCTTATCTCATCGTCTTCAGTGACTACTGGCTAAAGTACGATGGTACGAACTTACGAGGCTCATCTTCATCATCACCCCGCACAAACTTTAGGAGGCGGGAGTGAAGGGATCATAGAGCTACTCGATGACAAGGGAATCCCAATCTTTGACGCGATGCTTCGATCGTGTATCTCCGGTTCCTGGTCTACACTGCATCATGATAGTATAGACCCCTTCGGTACCTGCGTAAAATGTACAGTCGATCGTAGTTTAACGATCCGCATGGCCTATGCAAGGTGAAGCCTGGTGTCGTACGCCAAAGTTCAAACGAAGCCACAAATAGGCATGTCGTACGTGACCGTTCTGTGTATGACAAATTCACGTTTACTTTCACCTGCCAATCTTGTCCGCCGGGTAATTGATGCCAGCCTGTCGTCTCATGTCTTCCGTAACGTATAAGACGTTTCGCGAGATTGTCTCCAATTCTTGCAAGGCGGCCGTATCCTTCTCCTGTAGAATCCGCGCGAATTCCGCGGCCTCCTCTTCCATGTTCACATTGGGCTTCTCGACCCTCTTACAGGGACCTGCCAAGTCTTCCGTGGTCTTGGTATGAGGACTCCAAAGTTTCAAGCTATCAATGTCGGTTGTGAAGTTGATGGTGAGAGTTCCCTTCTCGCCATAGATTTCGCAAGGCGCGGTGCTCTGGTATGATTTGCTGTTGTTGATTTGCACGCCGAAATTATCGTACTGCAAGATTCCGACACCACCACCATCGACGCCGGTCCTGCAAATTGTCGGGATGTAGGATTGAGTTTTCGGCTTGCCGAAGAGCGCAACTGCAAATGTGACGGGATACACTCCGACATCGACGAGCGAGCCGCCTGAGAAGTCGAGGGAGAAGATGTTGGGCGTCTCTCCATTCAAGACGTTGTTGTATCTGCTGCTGTACGAGCAGTAGGAGAATGACGCTCCGTAAATGGGACCCAACTTCTTATCCTCATTGACGATCTTCCGCAACAGCTTGTAGTTCGCCTCTTGAATATGTCTGTAAGCCTCTATCAGGTACACGCCCTCCTCTTTTGCTATCCGGAAAAGGTCGTCCAGTTCTGCTGATGTGCTGGTTGCAGGCTTCTCAAGCACTACATGCTTCTTCGCTTTGAGCATCTGCTTCGCTTGCTCGTAGTGCAGGTTATTGGGCGAGGCAATGTAGACGACGTCGAGCTCCTGATCACCAGCGAGATCATCGAGGGAAGTGTACAGGTTGGAGCAGGCATATTTCGAAGCGAACTTCTCCGCCTGCTCTTTGGTGCGTGAGTATACGGCGTGCAATTGCCATTTCCCGGCCTTTTCTGCTGCTTTGATCCAGGAGTCGGTGATCCAATTGGTGCCAATGACGGCGTATCGAATGGCCATGATCTGCGGTCCTTAGGAAAGCTGGTGTGGTGCGTGGACACAAACAGTCGACGAGCTCAATGGTGACTTGAAAGTCTTCGAGCGATGGTGGGGCAGCTGGCAGCCACAGCTGACCGGGTGCTGAGGAAAATGCACTACTTACATTTGCTACACGCTGCAATGGAGATGTGTGTCTAGCAGAGCGCGTGGACGAAGGTCCCACAGGTCTATTCCCGTCCATGTCCTTGTCGGCGACATTGAGAGATGGGCGGCATGCTGCCTTCGCCTTCCCAATTGTGCAGGGATTATGGAGCTCACGAGGTTCATCGCCTCTCTCGGTGCTGGGCGTGCGTGGATGCGCCCCACGACGAGATCTTCCGGTCGTGTCGTCTGCCGCTGCAGTCGATTCGCAGCGGAGCCATCCCACACCACTGGCCGTGTCCTACCCTACCCACATGATGCCGCATCACCGTCTGCCCTCCGAGTCCCTCGACTCCATGCCGACCCGGCGACGTGTGCTGCTGTTCCGTGCGGTGCAGGGAGGAGCCTCATCATGTTCATGAGCTCCATGTTTGCGGGTAAGTCCACACTCCAGCACTGCGTCTGGCAGAACACACGGCCGGCGTGATGAGATGGCAGACGCGGGCCATGTCA